CCGCTGACAAGACCCTGAAATACTATTGACACATCAGGTCTCACATTAATAGTCAGCTTTTCCATACGGTGCATATGAAAAGGCCTGAGAATCTGGGTTCTTTTCTGTCCCTTTGCAATGTTCCTGATTTGCCTCCATAGTCTGGTCTTGTGCCACACACAGCCTGACCGAATGAGTGGTGTCTTCTCCCTTCTCCCTTTTGTCACTGACATCACCTTAAAAACCTTCCCAACTCAGGTCCCTTGCAGCCCAGAGACCCTCTTTGTTCTTGTTTGTTTGTTTGTTTTGCGGTACGCGGGCCTCTCACTGTTGCGGCCTCTCCCGTTGCGGAGCACAGGCTCCGGACGCGCAGGCTCAGCGGCCGTGGCTCACGGGCCCAGCCGCTCCGCGGCATGTGGGATCCTCCCGGACCGGGGCACGAACCCGTGTCCCCTGCATCGGCAGGCGGACTCTCAACCACTGTGCCACCTGGGAAGCCCTAGAGACCCTCTTTGGAAGCCCCTGTCTGCCAGGTCTTCTTGCTCGTCACCAGTGATTAAGCCCTGGGATTCATACTTCCGCCTCACACATGTCGTATCCACCACTGCGGTCCTAACTGTCCTTCTGCCTCCTATCCCGTCAAATCTTGCAGCTTTAGTCTTCTCTTGGCTTCCTCCTCTTCATAATCCCTCCAGCATCCTCCCACCGTCCCCACAGAGGCAGCATGATGCAGGCAAAGGAGAACGGGCTTTCTCCAGCGCAGAGGTTTCAGTCCACGCCCTGTGTCTGCCTCTGCCCACTTATACGATGTCTTGCATGTGATAACCTCACAGAACCCCAGTCTCCCATCTGTAAACATTCCCTCACAGGGGCCTGGGGAAATAAACCTCCATTCCTGTTGTGCTTTATTTCCATCTCTCTGTGAACTGCCTTGGCAACGCTAAACAACTTTTACAGTAATACACTTGAACATTTTAGCAGTGTCTAGTGAAATCATTAAAAACTTACAGCCCATTTCCTATGTCTTCAAACCCTCTGAGACTGTAAGGGATTTAACTAGGAGGTTTTAAGGAAACTAAATGTTGACCCCATAGCAGTGAAGATGTTTGTTATTAGTTTAGTAACATATTTCTCTTTGAAGAAAAAACTAGGTGATGGTATTTTCTTCTTAGGCCCAGGTCTTAGACACTGAGTGTCTATAATCAATCACCCCTTAAAGAAATAAAATATAAAACTCTCTAAGGCAGAGGTTGGCAAACTTTCACTGTAAGGGCCAGATAGTGAATCTTTTAGGCATTGCAGACCATATCGCCTCTGTCACAGCTACTCAACTCTGCTATTGTAGCACAGTAATACACAAATGAATGAGTGTGTTCCAATAAAACTTTATTTACACAAACATGCAACAAGCTACATTTGGCCCATGGACCATAAAGTTTGCCACCTCCTATGTAAGTCGTGAATGGAGATGACAGTGACCATAGTGATTCAGAAAACCAGATTTTTTTAGTGAAGGGAGGGTTTTAGATAATTCTTCTATGATACTTCTGGAATTATTAAGGTTTTTTGGTTAATACTGAATGCCATCACTTTGGTGGGGGGGGGGTAGATGGGGGGAGCAGAGGCTGTGCAAGTTTTCTAGATGGAAATATTAGTCAGCTCAGTATATTTGAATCTTGAGTAAACTGGCCTTTGTAAGTAGATTTGGGTTCTGTAGGTTGGCTATTAGTGAACCCATCCTGTCTTCCCGCTCCTGGAACAGAGAAAGGACAAATTAGGGGAATCAGAAAGCCTGGGAAAAGGGGGAAGTAACAATAACAATGACTATAATTTATTAAGCTGTCCTCCCCATCACAAACTATGACCATATTATCCCCGTTTTACAGAATACGTGAAGTTTTAGTTGAGAGATGATGAATACTTTGCCGGGATCACACAGTAAGTGTCAGAGCCAGCTGTATTGCTTTCTCCTTGGCCACAATACTTGCCTCAAGAAAAGTTACCTGCTTTCCCTGGTACACCCACTTTCTTCAGGTTTAGAACCAGAGAAGGCAGTGGGGTGGGGGGAAATCACCCCTTCTTCCTTCTAGCTTTCCTTTCCAGTAGCTGTTATGTTTAAAACGCAAACAATAAATGTCTCGTGAGTCAACTTCTACTGTGTGCCAGGCATAAAACTTTCATTTTATTACAAAAGCTATTTTCTTCCCATTCCCAGGACTGCAAAGAGACAAGGAAATGGAACTTCAGACAATTAAGAAATGTGTCCTAGGTAGCACCAAGAGTTAATTGCAGAGTCAGAATCTCATCACAATTCTCACCAACACCAAAGCATTGTCTGCACATACAACTGCCGTAGAGCTTAGAAGTGAAACTCCCAGGCTCTTAAGCCAGAGTGACTGGTTCAAATCTCAACCCCCTGGTTACTAGTTGTATCACCCTGGACAAATTGCTTAATGATCTTTTGTCTTAGTTTCCTGATTTGTCAAATTAGGATGTTGGTAATGATTTCCCTCTCACAGTTTGTTATAAGGAGTAAAGCAATAACATGCATATCATAAATAGCACAGGCTTGGCTTTTTCCATAGACTATAAGCTCTATGAGCACAGGAGTCTTGTTTTGTTTGCTGTTGTGTCTTTAGCACTTAGAATAATGCCCAGCACACAGTAGGCAATATTGTTGCAGGAAGGAAAAAGTTTCAAACAAACTAGCCTTTAGATTAAGTTGTGACTGGGTTCAAAGCCAGCATGAAAAAAACATGGTTCTCCTTTTTCTTTACTTTTTTTTGGTATAACTTGAATTTGATACATAAAATTTAATATGTCTTTGAAATCATAACAGGAAGTGTAATAATGGAAACTAGCAATTGTCTTGGTTATTTCGATACTCCTGACAATAGTGGATGTTAGTACAAAGGGGAAGCTGAGTCTCATAGCACATAGCTTTGGATACACTCTCCTAATTCTTTGGTATTCTTAAAGGAACCTGCTTATGTAGTTCATTTTAAAATTCCTTTCATCCTTTTTCTTTAAATCTAATAAGTCTGTAATTATCACACAGATTTTATCTCCAAAAGTTTATTTTTACCAAACTTGTGTCGTATTTAATACTGTGGATTCTAAATGCAAGTCAGTATTTAGTGGCAACAGCTGCCAGGAGTCACTGTAATAAAAGAATTATGGTCCCCTTTAGCTGGCAAGATTGCTTTTGACGTCTACACTTCAGCACTGATGGAAGCTCCAGAGAGCAACAATGCCTCCAGAGAAAAGGGTAAACTCATCCCCCAGTTTGAATGGGTACAAAGAGGAGCATATATACAGGAGGTATGGGGATGGCGGTGCCTTTGGAACAAACAGTTCTTGCAGGTGGATTTATATCCAGGCTCCGGGAAGCTGAGCCCCATGTATTCCCAAGAACACCACCTAGACACACTGTCATACCTTGGCAGAAAAACATTTTCAAGGCTTTATTGGATTTATGATAATATTCATTCTGAGTGTTGATAAACTGACACCCCTAACAATAGCAAAGCACTGGGGTTCTAATCTTTCTCCCTGGCTTGCGCTGTATACATTTATTTTCGTTAAGATTAAGTATCTCACAGAATTACACAGCGGCAGCTTATGTAACTACGTCCTTAGAATGCTCTATCTTCAACAATATGCCTACCAAAGAATGCTTTAAAGACCTCAGTAACTGGAGAGGCCAAAAAGAATCATTTATTTGCTTTTATTTGTTTTAATGTAGAACCCTCTACCTGGTTTATGTTAAGCAATTGAAGTGAATAAGCTTTAAACTTTCTTCTGCTTACAATCAAAGTAATTTAGATGTATTAGTCTGATTTGTAATTTTCTTCAAGTCAAGAAGAACTGAATGTCTAATACATTTGGGAAACGTTCGTAAGTGAAAGATTTGCTCCAGTTTAAAATACCTATCTGTTTGACTATTCTGTAAACCAAACTGTAAATTGAACTGTAAGCCACAGAGTTAAAGAATGCCGTGAGGTTTGACTTTCGCAGTGAAGACTTTGATTTTCCAGGAACCCAGTGGTAAAATTTAGTTTGGGGGTCAACCTCATGAAATAAGAATTTGGCCCAAAATGGCAGCAATAAAGAGAAAGATTTACCCTGAGATAGCTTATACATAAAGTATGATGAGCCTGGACCTATGGTAAAATACCCTGCTGTTTAATTTCCTGTTGAAATAATAGCTAAAAATTTGTTATGCATGAGAAATTATGTGCAAAGCATCTTACGTGTATTATTTTATTTCATCACAGTGTACTATTTTTTTTAACATCTTTACTGGAGTATAATTGCGTTACAATGGCGTGTTAGTTTCTGCTTTATAACAATTGTGTAGTATTATTATTCTCATTTATTGACAGAGAAAAAGAGGAAAATAGAGATCTGTAAAAAAGGTCAAGTAATTTGCCAGAGGTTACAAACCTAGATAATTTGCCTCTGGAGCCTGAATCCTTGCCCGTGACATAAGCCTAAATTACTAATGAGGTTGGCAATAAATGCGTTTCAGTTAAATACGAAAATAATGACATATGGACAACTTCTAAATGTAGCTCTATTATAGGTAGTATATAACAAGTAGTAAAATTGTATTCAGAATAAACAAAAACGTTTGCCTTACACCCCTAAAAAAGCAATTCTACGTTTTTAGAGGGCAGAATTTCAGGTCCTGATGACGTCACATTACCCTATAAGCTCTGTTTTTGTCTCTGCATCCAAGGTTAGTATTTCCACATCTTATATGAAGTCATTGATCAACCAACAGAGCTGTTATTCTTTTTTTTAAATCTAGACAGGACAGATCTTACCTTCAAAGAAGTTACGAAAATTGTCCACCATCAGGCAGCAAGTTGGTGGCCAAAGTGAAATTCCAACCCAAGTTTCAGGATTTCAAGTCTAATGAATTATTTCCCACCTTTCACTATAAAGGTGACAGAGTGAGAACAAAAATGGCTTTTGTGAAATCTCCTTAACACTATACTTTTTCTTTCTTCTCATAGGTCGCTACCCTCAGGAGAACAAGGGAACCTACATCCCAGTCTCTGTGGTCTCCGAGCTGCAGAGTGGCCAGTGGGGAGCCAAAGTTATCGGGAGAGAGGACAGGTCTGTCCGGCTGTCCGTCCAGTCTTCTCCAGACTGCATTGTGGGGAAGTTCCGCATGTATGTTGCTGTCTGGACCCCCTATGGTGTAATCCGCACGAGCCGAAACCCAGAAACAGACACGTACATTCTCTTCAATCCTTGGTGTGAAGGTAAGGGCCAGGGATTTATTTTCTTATTACAAAAATAGTTCCTATATTTCTAATGCGTCTCTGTTTGGATGATGGCAAAATTATTCTACAGGACGTCCCTTTCCTACATACACTTTCCATGTTTTAAAGATAGGAAAAGATACAAAATTTGTCCTCATTGTATATGAGGACATAACCTGAAATTAACGCTGCTATAGATTTATTGCAGGAAACAATTGAAGATTGCCCAAAGCTGCACAATTAGTTAACTGTGGAGCTATATGTTGATGGTATCACCTCTGTGTATGTTACTGCTCTGTAAATGAAAAGGGTTTCTTTAACTTGACTTTCAAAACTATTAGGATCCAGAAGATGTGGTGTATATTTATATATATCTATATATATAGTCTCTGCCATAACAAAGAACAAAATTTTGCCACTTGCAGCAACGTGGATGGACTTGGAAGGCATTATGCTAAGCGAAATGAGACAGAGAAAGACAAACACCGTATGATACCATTTATATGTGGAATCTAAAAAATGCAAGCTAGTGAATATAGCAAAATGAAGCAGACTCCCAGAGAACAAACTAACGGTTACCAGTGGGGAGAAGAAAGAGGGAGGGGCGATGCAGCGGTAGGGAATTAAGAGGTACAAACAATGAGGTATAAAATAAGCGGCAAGGATATATTGCACAACATGAGGAACATAGCCAGTATTTTATAATAACTATAAATGGAGTATAACCTTTAAAAATTGTGAATCGCTGTATTATGTACGTACAGCTGTAACTTATATCGTACAGCAACTATACTTCGAGTTTTTTGAAAAAACTATTAGGATCCATAATCTGGCTTCAGAAAAATAGAATAAAGTTGACCCTGTCTGTGGCGGAACTAATTTCTCTGTCTCCGTAATTCAAGAAGAGAAAGCCTGAATGTCTAACAGTTTCCACAAATTTGTTTATACGCATAGTGCGTGCACACTTCATAAACCGTAACTCTGGAGATGCAAACATGTATCTTTATTTTAATATAATACAACTTAATCTCTACTGCTATTTTGAGTCTTCCCTTCTGGCTGCTGCAGAAGTTAAATCTGGTTATAGTCAAATAAACTCAGTCAAGTCCAAGGATTTCTCTACCAATCCAATTTAAAAACTCAGTCACACACAGTATTTTTCCCTATCCGCATCTCTGCTCTTCCTTGTCTGCCCCCTGCTTCCATACTTGGGCATGAGGCTGATTTTAAGTTCCAGAGGCAGATGCAAATGTTGCAGCAAAATTGAGGGAAGAGAGTCCACTTTTGGATCTTAAGAAGTAAGGTAATGAAACATATAAAAGCTGATGGGACCAAAGGCTTCTCACGTCATCTTATTCCATATGCATTGCTCTCCGATATCTTCCAAAATGGGTCTATATTAGTGCTGACTTTGAACGTGAGAGTTGCACTTAAATCAGGCTTGATCCGAACTTACATATTGATAATAAGCGAACAACAATGTTTTCTACTCCTGTATAACATAAACCTGGATCCTACTGACCTTTTCTTTGAACTGTCTATTCCAATAGATGGCACTGAGCTAATCCTATACTCCCCACTCACCACCTCCATCATCCTATACCCAATAATCCTTATCTATGAGACAAACGTTCAAGGTTGATGGTGACAGGAGCTGCTAACTGGGCCATGTGCAGTTCAAAGGTACAGGGATCTGTTTATAGTAACCTTGCCAACCAGATACAACTGCAAATGAGTGATAATGGAGAAGACTGAGGGGAGTGAGGGGGTAGACACAAACTAAGATTTTGAAAATGTTTACTTGGAGATAACTGTAGATACTCACCCAGAAATGACCGGAGATATCCTGATATGTGAGATGAGAATCAGAGATGTGAATTTGGGACTTATCGGCACCTTTGGAGAAAATATAGATAAAGAAGGAAAGAGGATGTCCTATCAAGCCCTAAAGAACCCTAACATTTAGGGGTCTAACAGAGTAGGAATCAGCAAAGGGGGCTGAGATGGTGGAATACGTAGGTGGTGGCCTAATACAAGAAAATTGTATTTTAAAAAGCCATACTTATAAAATAGGTAAACCAAGAATTTGTTATTGATTTTATTTGCATTACAGAAAGAAAATCATACAACTTCATATAACTATCCAACACCCTAAGGTGATATGATCTGCCCAAACTTTGGTTTATTAACAGCTTTTCTGGATTACATCATCTGTGTAAGATGGGACACATGTCTACATGCATTTGCACTTATGTGGCCTCTCGTCTAGAGGTGAAAAGGGTTAGTCATGTTGCCTGACATATTGACTTTACAGGAGGACCATTCAGGAGGTGGATGGTCTAATAACCTTCAACTACCTGATCATTGCCTTGGTGTTCCATTGTAGCCATGGTGAGCAGCTTCCAGGTACCTCTGCTCTGAAAGAGTGACATAGGTCTAGAGATGACATGGTGCTGCCACTAGATGCTGCATTACAGAAAAGGAGCCGAGGGGCATTGCTGGTCAGCGGAAGGTGAGAATAAAACCAGAGTTCTAGTAGGCACTTGAATAGGTGAGTCTAGAGCTCAGAGGAGATAGAGCTGAGCTAGAGATATAAATATGACCGCCAGCAGGAGCCAGCGGCAAGTTTAAAAGAAGAACAGGATGGATTTAGCATAATCAACAATTCGAGTCTAAACAAAGGACGGGGAGATTGACGAAGAGTAGCCAGTGGGGTAAAAGGGAATCAGAAGAACGTGGTGTCACAGAGTCAGAACACCAACTGATTCAAGGAGACAGGCTTTAACTCTTTGGACTGCTGCTTATTAGTTGAGTAGGATAAGAAAAGAAAGTGGCCACACACTGTGAAAATACAGAAGTCATTGGGAAAATTAGAAAGATTGTTTTACTGGTGTGATGGGGACAGAAAACAGAGAGATGGGCACAGGCTACAATGTAATGGGAGGTGAGAAAGTGGAGGCACAGGTATTACCATCTCCTTCAAGAAGACCTTCTGTGAAACAGAGATGGTGATACGAAGGTCAAAGGAGAATTTTTTAAAGACAGGACAGAATGGACACAATTTTCTGGTGTTGGAGACCAACCAGGAGAAAGAGTTTACAGCCCAGAGGGAGCGTAGTGGTTCACAGCCTTGGCTGCACCCTGGAATCACCTGGGGGCTTGGCCACTGATGCTGCGGTCTCCCCACCCAAACATTCTGATTGGTCTGGACTGCAGCTTGGGATTCAGGGCTTATAAACAGCTCTGTAGATGATTCTTGAAGACACGGTTGAGAGTCACTGACTTAGAGAAATCCTTGAGTGGGTGGGATCTAGGGAACAGGTGAAGAGCCCTTGATAGGTGGGAATATCCATCCCCCACGGTGACAGGAGCAAAGTAGGATACGGGTGAAGGTGCAGGTTTTCTAGACTCAGTGGAAGGAGGACGAGGTTGTTGCCTCCTGTGATTCTGTGTTTCTCAGTACAGTGTAAAGCAAAATCATCCGTTGAGAACAAGAAGCAAGGAGGGAGTATTGGAGGCTTGTTGGAGGAGACGTGAGAGTTGGGAGGTGGGAAGCAGGCTTACTACATGAACATGGCAGATGGGTCTGCCCCGGTCCCCAGAACCCAGAGAAAACTGCCACAACCCCTTAATTCCTTGGCCCGTGAAAGTCCAAACATCTCTGCAAATTTCTTGGGGATATTTTTGTGGCCATCTCTACGTGTAGGAATCCTATATCTCTCAGTGCTGACACGTGTGCTGCCTCAGAAACATCATGAACAGTTACCCAAAACATCTATGAATGTCTAGACATTAATTGCCACCTGGTGTGGGGCGGTGAGAGGAAGAAAGATTTACAGTCATCTCTCGGAATCCCTGGGGATTGGTTTGGGGACAGCCACAGATACCCCAAATCCACGGATGCTCAAGTCCTGTATTTGTCCTTCATATTCCTTGTGTGCCGCGGGTTCAACCAACAGTGATGGTAAACATAGTACACAATCTGCGGCTGGTTGAATCCGCAGATGAAGAACTCACGGGTGCACAGACCCCAACCGTGCCGTGGTTCTCCAACTCAGACCACATCAGAATCACCTGGAGGGCTTGTTAAAACACAGGTTTCTGTGCAGCATTCTCATATTGGTGAGGTCTGGGTGGGGCCTGAGAACTTGTATTTCTAACCAGTTTCCAGGGGATGCTCATGCTGCTGGTCAGGGACCACACTCACAGGACCACTGGTTTACATAATAATCACAAGATAATAATTACAAAACACAGGAGACTGTGTTCACTCTTCTTAAAATTCCACTGGCTCCTCCCCACCCCTAATCCCAGTCTCTCTCCAGCTTTTACTGCCTCTTCTCTCTCCCCTTTTGTTTTTCCTTGTCCTCCAAACTCTGCTCTCTCATCCTCTCTCAGGAGCAAATTCTCTTATTCTCTCATGCAGAACACTTCAGCAAGCCTTTTGATTTCGTTCTTTGGGCTTCTCCAGCAGTCAGACTACACATTTGTGCGTCTACACACTTTTCCAAAGCTATTCCCTCCAGAAAAATTCTGGCACCAGCTTTTAAGTTAATACCTTTTTACATTTTTATGTTAATGCTCACTGATATCTCCCAGGGGATGTGAATGGAATGGGCGAAACAGGTCATCTCTTCATTTCTCTCATGCTGTGGTTTTCCCAGCCTAGAAACCAAAGCATAATCCAACCAGGGGATCTGTATGATGAACCCCACACACAGTCAAATACACTGTAGCCTGACAATCAACCAGTTTCGTGCTTGCATGTGCTAATTCACAACAATGGACTCATAGAGATATGATCTGGCAATAGAAAGTAGATAAGAAGAGAGGCCATTGCCCAAGGGGAAAAGATAACAATAGAGGAAATCAGAAGTTGTCAAAATAAAGCCAGGTGAGCAAAGATGCTGAAAACACCACACTCTTGACCTGGAAGTGATGTCCAAAGTGGCTTAGGACACTGCGCTGAAATTACACAGGCAAGTACAGCACTGACTGAT